GGCCGGGAGGGGCTGTGGGAGGACAGTGGCCCGCGTGTGGGACACGGTCGAGGTGGGGGCTCGGAGAGCCGGGTGGTCCGTGTGGGCCCACGAAGGCTGAGTCATCGCCACCCTTGGGAAGCTAATGACAGATGCGGGCGAAGTGGGGCCGGAGACGGCGTGGCCAGGGCACCAGCAGATCCCACGTGTGCAACGCCATCCTGGACTCACTCCGCGGCGGCTTCGCGGCGTGCTGTCACCTCCTCTCCTGTTTATGCCGTGGCTTCGGGAAGGATAAACAGTGCTTCTCGGCGGCGGAGGCGCCATCATGTACTGCATCCCGCACCCCCCACTCAGATGCAGGGGCCTCCACGGGGGCCCCTCGGCCATGACGGTGGCACCCGCCTGCCTTCTCCCCCCCAGACGACAAAAGATGCTCAGCCTTGTGCTAAAAATAGGAGCCGTGTAGACGCTTCAGCCTCGAAGGCGGGTCGGCCGCCAGGGCCGGGGCCAGCTCCATGTCTGCCCGGGAGAAGGAGCCGCCGACTCCCTCACTCGCTCACACGCGCGTGCGCGTCCCTCACGTCCCTCTTCCTCTTGTTCCTCCCGCAGACGCCGTTGCGTGCTCCTCTCTGCCGCGAGGCTGTTCTTCGGGGACCTCGCAGTCTATCAAGAGGCAGCGGGGCTCCCAGAGCTTAGTGGGGTCAGGGCTGCTTCGGGGCGCACGGCGAGGCGGAGGCTTGTGTGGGAGGGTGGTGCCATGGCCGTTTGGGGGGCGTCCTGGGGAGGCCGCAGGGGACATTTAAGCCCAGAGCTAGCTCGTCAGGCAGGGGGCGGACGGTGGGCCGTGCCAGCGGAGGTAACAGCTTGCACAGCGGTGGGACACAGTGAGCGGAGGGGACCCTCGGAGGAGGCTGTCTGCGGGGCTCTGGCGGGGGCGGGCGGCAAGGGCGGCAAGGGCTGGGGTCCAGCAGGCTGCTTTTCACACCTCGAGCTTGGCCCGTGCACACCCCTGCTGGCCGCCCACGGCGGAGGCGGACTGTCTGTGCCAAGTCTCAGAGAGCGTCACACCCGAGGAGCGGCCACCGAGGTCTAGGCGGCGCACGTCTCAGATGGCTCCGTGTCCCTGAGCCAGCCCCGGGCCACCCAGGTGGCTGTTCCATTGGCCCCAGTGTGACGGGGCCGGGCCGTGTGGTCCCGTTGCCGTCAGGTCTGGATTCCAGGGTCCTGACAGCTCCTGGCCACATCCGCTTCCTGCCTCGTTCCCGGGCAGATGTCGGTGATGTCGTTTCCTGTGTCTCCTTCCCTCCTTCCCTCCCTCTCCTGTTTGTGCCGTGGCTTCGGGAAGGATAAACAGTGCTTCTCGGCGGCGGAGGCGCCATCATGTACTGCATCCCGCACCCCCCACTCAGATGCAGGGGCCTCCACGGGGGCCCCTCGGCCATGACGGTGGCACCCGCCTGCCTTCTCCCCCCCAGACGACAAAAGATGCTCAGCCTTGTGCTAAAAATAGGAGCCGTGTAGACGCTTCAGCCTCGAAGGCGGGTCGGCCGCCAGGACAGGGCAAAGACTGGGCTGGCGGTCGGGAGACGGGGCCCTGGGCGCTCGCCCTAGGGTGGTGTCAGGCCGCGTCCCTCTCTGGGTCACAGCCTGGCCTGTGTGGCAAGGGCGGGCGAGACGATGCTGGGCCCACTGGATCGCTGCGTGCTGACATATGAGGCGTTGTTACCCGTATAACCCAGTGACCTCTGGTTAAAGAAAGAAGCCACTGATGTTAAGCCCACTGACGATTCCGTGTGACACGATGTGAGCCGGTGGCCGCCGCTCTGCAGACAAAACGCTCCTGAGACACCTCAGTGAACACGTGGAGAACTCTAAAAATAGACCATGGGATAGTCTCAGGCTGGACACCGATGGGGGCATGGGGACCAGTGGGGGGTACGGACACCGCAGGGGCCATGGGGACCGGCGGGGACATGGGGACCGGCAGGCATGGGGACTGGCCAGCATGGGGACCTCTGCTGGGGACGCTCTGCACCCGTGGGTGCTCTTCCCAGCGTGGGGAGTGGGCGTCTTCTAGGGCAGGCTGGTCCGCGCTTGCCTCTGTCACGCAGTGAACCCTCCCCCACCTCGGCGAGTGGGACGTGGTCACCGTACCATGTTAGGGTCCCCGGGAGAAGGGGCATGGCTCCTGCCTCCCCCAGGACCAGTACATGAGGGACCTGACTCTGCACGCGGCCCTTCACCCGGCCCTTCCCGGGAAAGGTGCCCGCCTGCCCTGCTCGCCCCGGCTTCGCTGTCGCCCCACCCCCCAGGTGGGCTCCTAAGGTGTCTAAGCTCATTGCTATGTGTGATCGCTTCTCCGCTATAATTTATTGTTATTATTAGGTATTCTAATATTAGCATTATCCCATGTATCGGGCACTCATAATATTGAAAAATACATCCATTAGTGTCAATCAGCAAAAAAAAAAAAAAAAAAAAAACAAAGCCCCTGCAAAGTAGCAAAGTAGATGCTTCCACAGTAGGGTGACGGAGTGGAAACTGGGCGCTCATTGTTTGAGGTCCCAGCTGGTCCCTCACGTGGTCAGGGCGGGGCCCTCGGCCGGCCGAGGCAGAGCTGCTGCCCTGGCTGCGACTCCGTCCTGTCTCTCCCAGGGGCCGCCTCACAGCGTGCACGTGGCCGCGGCTCGCAGGTGTCCGTCTGCGTGCGTGCGTTTCGGTGGGATGAATCGCCACCCACTGTGGTGCAGGCTGAACTTCGGAGCGTGTGCCACCAGCTTCCAACGCAGGTGGGAGGGGAAGGCTCGGGCCTGAGAGCCGCCAGGGAGACCGTCGTCTGTGTCTTTGGTGCCTCAAGGCCTCTGCCTGACTTGACGAGTCCGTTATCCTTCCACGAGGCTGTGAGACCTCATGTGAACATCTGGAGGGGCAGAGACCCCAGAGGGAGAAAAGCGCTCGGCATTGTGTGGGTGCTTCTGTCTGCATTGTCTTCAGTTGTGAAAAGAATAAGCACACGTATACAGCCCCTGTTGAATTCTGCACAGAAAGAAAGAACATGCTTTTAAATGCCAGGGGCCAAGTGGCTGGGGCCGCGTTTGCTGTGATGGGGGACAGTCGGAGCCGTGAGTCCTGCCTTCCCTCTGCCCCCTGCCAGCCGAGCACCCCACGGACGCCCAGAGCCTGCCAGGGGTTGGTCATCGTTTCTCTCCTGCTGTGTCCACAGAATTGGTTTTGGATTTTCTTCGTTAACAGCTTGCGCCTATTAAACATTTATCCTATGCCGAGCTCCACAGCAATGTCCAGTTGGGGAAACTGAGGCACGGAGCGATTAAGGTCTTGCCCGAGGTTGCCCAGGGGCTGAGGGACTGAGCTCTGTGTCCCTCGGGCCGGCTGACCTGGGGGTAAACCCTGCATCGCGGCATCTTCCCCTTCTCTTTGCCCCTGTATCGAGCGGCTTGTCCTCGAGAACCGGTTGTGACCTCACCGTCACCCTTCTGATCTGTCTCATCTCCCGAAGGCGAAGGACCGTGGCTCAGTCGTGTCTGTCCCCGGTGCGTGGAGCAGCTCTGTGGGCCTGACCCCGAGTGTTGGAACAGTGACCACCCCCATGAGACGCTCCGCCTCTGACCCCCAGCAACTGGCCGGAAGGGTCGGTGGGGGCCCGCACGCTGCACGTGGACCCTGAGGCTCAGTGATGTGATATGGCTCGTCCAGGGCCGCGGGGGCGCGGGGTTCCAGTGAGGATGGGGTGCTCGCACAGCACGACAGAAGCCGGACTCTGGGGCCGCCCTCCGCCCACAAAGAAGCAGTGCTGGTTCTCGTTCCTTCCAGGGTCATTTTCCGTCAGGACAGAGCGGATTCTCCCCGTGGCGATGGGGCAGGAAGCGGGTGCGAGCATCTGTCATCCTTCTTACCTGCAACCCGGGGCGAGAACCTCTGTCCCGAAGCGTTTTCTTGGACAGAGTCAAGCCATGGACATACACTCCTGTGTGCAGCACCACGAACGGCGTGGGTGCTCAGGGGAGGCTGGGTTCCTCCCCTGCCCCACGTCCCCGGGCGTGCAGACGGCTTCGCCGCCTCGGAGAGCCCAGCCCAGCCTCTTGGTTTGCTTCTCATCCTTGACATGGCGAACTTTAATTCCGTCCCCTCCCGTCTTCCCCACGCGGTCTGTCGTTAGTGGCCCTCGGGCCACCTGGCTTGGGAAGTCGGCCACCTCTGGAGCGGGGGTTCCGCTTCTGCTGGGCCAGACACCCAGTCCCTCCGCCTCCCAGGCTCCCTAGAGGACACACTTGTCCTTGCCTCTGCTGGCACCTGAGCTCGGTAAAAACTGTGTTTATACTAACGATGATAAAAAGTATTTTCAATGATCATTAATCATCATTAATGGTATCCACCGTTTTTTAAGTGTTTATTGTTTGTCAGAGACTGCACAAAGTGCTCTGTGTGGCAAATTCATTTACTTTTCCCATCACGTATCGGCGTCACGTGCTGTTAGTCTTCCCGTTGCAGACGGGGAAGCTGGGCGTGGGAGAAGTCACAGGTGGACAGCGGAAGAGCTCCATTTGCTCCGATGGCCACGAAGCAGGTGCTCACAACTGGGATGCTGTCACCTGCATGGTACTGACAGGGAAGGGCAGTGGGGACCGGCCCGGCGTTAGAAATAGGATACCTGGGTCCAAGCCCTAGGCCCTCCAGGTGTGAGCTTGTGGGACGTGGAGCGAGTCCCTTCATCTG